AAAAACTGAGCAGGGAATCAGACCCGTGAACGCTGCTTACAATCTACAACATATTTTCTCTGTAAACCTACCAACATCTGAGTTACAAGACCTTAGCTCTTAAAATATGTGGTTATTCTTATGCTCTTGTATGTTTATACAATTTGGTTTAGGTTTGAAAAAAAACACACCCAGCTTGTAGAACAGTTGGTGAGACAATACAAATCCCAACACAGCCCATACTACCACCCCAAGAAGCGATCAGACTCGGAATGTTACACCAGGAGTGCTAACCCTGTAGCTGCTCTCCGGGAGCACAGGAAGCTCCTCCAGTGATTTCAGGCTATCAGATTATGGCAAATGGCTAAGGAAGGAGAGAATCAACATGCTCAGGCTTGGGAATTCCAAATCGTACTTCTGTTACACACCAAACCAAGTCAGAAGGTCTGTTCTGCAGCAACCTGCTGTTCAGGAACTTTTTTTTTTCCTCCTGGTGAGGTCTAATTTCAATATATGCAGTTTTCTTAATTCTGTTTATTCCTAGAGTAATTCTGAAATGGAAGCAAGGTCTTGCAAAATAATGTTAATTGAGCTGGTATGACTAAGATATAGTGTAGGAAAATCAGCTGAACAGCAGATTTATGTTTTGTCAAAGCTACAGTTTTTATGGTTGACACAGCTGCTGTTCTGCAGCATCTCCTCAGATATGACCTACAATCACAGAATGGTTTGGCAGTCAACCAGAATGGAGCGCACTCAAAGGCAAGACAGAAGTATATCTGGAGTGTTTCTCCGTGCTAATATGCACAGCAGATGCGTTTGACAGTTTACCCTTTGACAGCCAGCTATGATGTCAGATAGAGCTGTACCTTATGAAGCAATTTCACTTCCTGTTACTTTGACACTTTCAAGTGCTTCCACACCCAGAGGACAACCTCTGCAGAGCCGCTTGCCAGTATTAGCTCCACCTAAAAGATTTTTAAAAACTTAAAAAAAATAGTACTGAAGGCATTGAAGAATTATGAAAATCACATTTTTCTTTGCTGCGTTGTTCTTACTGGATCTCTTCGCTTGCTGTCATGCTTATCCACAGTATCCCTTGCCTGACATAGAAGATGCAAAGTTCATTGAAGACTGTGTGAGAGCTCACAACAGGTTTCGAGCCAAAGTGAATCCACCAGCCAGCAATATGTTTCGCATGGTAAGGAGGCGTTCGTGATCTGTTGGAAAATTAATATAGATTGTGCTGCTGATTTAGCCCATCTTCGTCTTCATTTGCTTTGTGCTTTTCTTTCCCTTTTTTCTGTCAGTGATTCCTGTGCTGTATGTGTTAGTTCTTCGTAGGAAATAGAAAAGACATTAATTTTCACAGTATTGTTCAGTTTTAATAGTTTGAAGGAAATTCTTTGTTTAGGGGCGGATTGCTACTCTAAATTTCAGCCAGAGCAAAGGGCTGCATTGCGAAAAGTAGCGTTTAGTTCTCAGCATTTTTTTTACCTTTTTCTAAAAGAGATAGTAATCTGTTTTATGTTAGTCCAGGTTTCATACAGGGAAGCTGTCTGGTATTAAAAAGCTCCTGAACAGGCAATCTGCACAACAGGATTTGTTGAAAATCTATCATCTCCCTTTGTTTCTTCCAATCTAGAGCATGTGTTGATGAAAGGGATTTGCCAGGACATCCATCTAGGTACCTGATCTTCATTTGCTGTAGCAGGGTTTGAAGAGTAGGGGTACTAACATCTGGGCTGGAAAGCAGAGCATCCTATAGAGATAATGGGTGTCAGAACAGGCCATGGATAGGTCTCAGCTTGTTTGGTGGAATACATAAGGAAGAAGGTAGATAGATAGCTGAGGGAGGTAGCCCCAGTCAGTTCATGTCATACTCTGAGCCCTCCAGCAGTGCTGCGTCGCCGGAAAGGAAGGTAAATGCATAACCGCATGCACAATATGAATAATTTCCATGAAAGGAAGTAAAGGTGTAGAATTCAGACTACTCATTATTTTAATTTCTTGCCATTTTAAAAAACAATGTTTAATTTAAAATGCTGGCACACAAGAGCAAACTTAGCTGCTTAGACCAAAGATCCAGCAAGCCTGGAATAACATCAGGACAAATATAGAAACCTCTAGAATCAAAGGTGTTGCATTGTATTTAAAAGCTCTTGATGGATTTTTCTTGTGTGATTTTTTTTTCAGCCTTGAGTTCATGCAAGTTTTTATCGTCCCTAGGATCGTGTAGCAAAGAGCTGCACAGCATAACCACAAGTTCTGTGAAGATACCTTCTTCTGTTTGTTTTGGACCTGATAATTCCTAACTTCATTTGATAGTCTCTGGTCTTTGTATTGGAAGGAGCAAGGAATCATCGCTTCTTCACACAAGATGTCCAGCTGCCTCTGATCAAAGCTGCAGAGCACTCCCTGTTGCTTTATGAAAGCCCTCCATGCTTGAGGATGATCATCCTCCTCCATATTCTCTCTGCCCTTTCCAGTTCTAGTGTCCCCTTCTTAAGGTGGGGTCCTGCACACAGCATTTAACAGGACTTCTACAGTCGTGTAACTATATACCTGGTTTTATTCTCCACTCCTAAAGGAATTTCTAACACGTTATTTGCCTTTTAGACTACTTCCAAACATTGATTTACAAGTGGTAATAGCCAGCTCCAAACCTGTCATTATGAACACAAAGTCAAAATTGTTTGGGTTTTTTTAAAACATGTCCCTTAACTTACATTTCTCTATAGTGAATTTTACCTGTCATTTTATTGCCTGATCATTCAGTGGCATAAAATCTTTCTGCAAGTCTCGCAGACCCTTTTCTCAAATTAGCATTTGTGCCACTCAGGGTGGAAATAGTTCCTCCTCAGCCCAGCAGAAATGAGTGAGCCTTTTATTTGCTTTTACTTATTTTTTATTGATTTATTTATTTGCTATGGCCACATGCTGAGGAGGGAGAAGAGCAAAGAGGCAGAAGGGGCTGGGGAAGGGAGCAGCTGTAACTCTCCTCCTCTCTGTCCGGGCCAGCAGAAGAGAATTCCTATCTGGTCTGGTGGTAATTGCAAAGTGCAAATCCCTGGGCAGCTCCTAGGCATAAAGTTCCTCAAACGCGATAAAGCTGGGATGTTCACCCAGTTACATCCTCTCAGGCCTAGCAGCTTAAAGACTGCAATCCAGCTCTAAATACTTCTAACAAGTCAGATACCACAGGACAGTGAATAGATACTGCGTGTCCTGCAATATCTAAGGGAGAAAGAAGAAAAAAAAATTGCTGGAGGAGCAGAAAAATCAAGTTAGAGAAGGAGACTGAATGCAGGGATGGGAAGCAGAAAAGGGGAAAAGAATCTTACAGGTTTCTGTTTAAAAGTGTTTGAATTCAAGTAAGCCACTGCAGTACAAGCTATATTCTGTTTTCTTCCTTTTCTACAGTCCTGGGATGCTGCTTTAGCTAAAACTGCCAAAGCCTGGGCAAAGAAGTGCAAGTTTAAGCACAATAGCTACCTTAAAATGCCAAGGAAGGTGCACCCTACTTTTACTCCTGTTGGAGAAAACATCTGGACTGGCACAGCCACCATCTTCTCTGTGGATGCAGCCCTCAGTGGCTGGTTTAATGAAGTCAGCAGCTATGATTTCAACAGCAACAGCTGTACTGATATGTGTGGTCACTACACCCAGGTGAGTCTTACATGCCCAGTGGTTTATAATGTAATGGTTTCACAGAATATCCAAGTACAGGCTTGGAACAAACCGCTTTGGAACAGGAATTACAGCAAGGGTTTTTACCCCTCAGTTTATTGCTGCATGAGACAATTGGCAATAAATATTCAGAGAACCAGGGATGTCCGAGTCCTGTTTTCAGTAACGGTGGAAAGGGATTATCCCTCTGACAATTTCGTGTTGCTGGGGAGCCGGATAATAAATGCAAAAACTTCTATCAATCGGTCATCTATCAACCCTTTGGGTTCTTGATGCTGCTTCTCTGTCAGCTGTTTTAAACTTCCACAAGATCCTTCCCTTCTCCTTCTTCCCTTAATGCTGTTGCTTTTTCAGCCTCTGAACTGGCGCATTACGTATTTCCCTTTGTCCTTCAGGTTGTTTGGGCAGAGAGTTACAAAGTTGGCTGCGCAGTTCACTTCTGCAATACAGTTGAAAATTTTCCAGGACTCTTCAGAGCAGCACATTTTGTTTGTGACTATGGGCCAGCGTAAGTTAATTATGGCATTTAGGGGTTTTTTATTTTTTAAATATCCTATAACTGGCCTGCTGTTAGATGCCAACAATGATGGGAGCAGCTGTAACAAATTTCAGAAGCAGCTATGTCCACATGCCACCGGTGCAAGGGAAACTTCCTCCGGCCATTGAGAGCACAAGCTGCTGAACAGTAGCCAGAGCTGCAGAAAATCTCTTTCTAAAAAAGCAGGCAGCAGATCATAGCTGAGAGCACTCATCATAACCAAGATGGTGCAATAAAATCTGTTTTGACTTCAGTCTCTTCAGGAGAAGTGGGGAAGGTGGGGAAGCTGCATGCTTTCCGCTTGAGAAAGATTACATCTTTCTGTGGCCCAACACTGAACTTCAAACAAGACATTTTAATTGAAGAAGTAAAAGGAAGTCAGTCCTCTAGTTTATCTTGTACCTTGCAATTTCTGGACTTACCTCTTACAGATTTTTTTTTTTAAATACAGATGGGTAACAAGGAACTAGAGGCAGATTCTTTCATGCTTTACACAGAATAACACAGTATTACCAGAGATGTCTCATTAATTTCAAATGGCAAGAGTCACCAGGTAGCTGCTCCCCATGTCAGTGAGAGCTGATCTAAAAAGAAGTTCAAACAATTGTGATGATTAGTTTTTGGATAAAGGGATTCCACCCCACCCCCATAATAGCTTGCATGATAAATTATTCTAACACTCTGATGAAATCATGTATGTAAATGGCTTTTCAAAAGACAGCTAACAAAATACCGTTCTGCTTTGCAGAGGGAATTACCCGAGAAAACCATATAAAGCAGGACAACCATGCAGTGGATGCAGGAATGAGAAGTGTGTAGACAGGCTCTGTGGTAAGACCAAAGTGACCAACTAATAAAATTGCACAGAAATAAGTGTGGCATAATTATCAGTGAAAATACAACAGTGAGCCAATTTGCACTAAGTACATAGTGGGTCTGTAGCCCACCACACAGCAACAGTACCAAACCCTGGTAAGAACAGTGTAAGGAGGAATTCATTGAAATACTTTGCTGTTGAATGCTCTCAGAGGTAGAAGCCAGAGTTTCTGATGAAGAGAAGTATTAGTTAGACTACTTTCCACCTTTTATCTGATCAGGAAGTCAAATCTAAAACATTAGCCCCAACAAATATTCCCCATCTAGTTCTTCTTTCCTAGCAGAAATAGTATACTTAACTTCTGCTTTCTTGCTTGTTTAGTATGTCCTATCACATTTTCCAGAAAACTATAGTTCTGAAACAATAATAAGACTATACTGAAAAGCACACTTATTTCTAACTTCAGCAATTTTCTGAAATACAGCAGTGAGAGCTTGTTTTTGCATAGCAGTTTGCAGCTGTGGACCTTTATGTCATTACACCTAGTCCCAAACTAGTCAGAAATAGTCTGTTAAATAAACGGAGACTAAGGGACATGCAACAATGTCTTAAATCAAATACAAATTTTATACAGAGGTTTAATGGGGATGGTCTCTACTAGCCAGGCTTTAGATAGCTTCAGCTGTACAAATAATTGAGCATTTGGTATTCTTATTTCCTTCTGTGCTAGATCCTACAACCTGTTCTACCATATTTTCCTATAGGGCACATCAGCAGTTCCAACAGGATGCACATAGACAATGCACAAACACATCAAAGCTCTTAGTAAAGGTGGACTTCCGTGATAAATTCAGTAGTTATATTTGTCTGTCTGTAACTACTTAAATTTGGGTGGTGTATGAATTTTAAATAAATCCCATGTTTTGTTTTTATTTGCTATTCCCTCCTCCCCATGTCAAAAATTCTTCCTAATACAGCTGCTTCTTTTCTCCTTCTCTTTCAATTCAATGAAAAATATAAGCCCCAGTTCCCGCCAGTTGGGAACCTGCCCTTGTTGGCCTGCCTTCCCCTTGCAGGATGTTTCAGGCACTGACTGGCATTGTCAGTCAATCAGCCAGGCAGCAGCAATGACTAACCTCTTTACATTAAGAACCACCACTGAATGATACATTTATTTCCTTTTCTGATCTCTCTACAGAAAATACAGAACGTGAGAAGCTGATAAGTACGTATCGAATTGTTCTTAATTGCTTTCCTGTAAGTATGGCTAAGTTTGATGGGTCTCAACAGCTATTTCTTCCCATTCTTCAGATTATGCCTACTGGTATCCAGACTGGGATACACAGCCCCAGCCACCGCGGCCCCGTCCTCCCAGGCCTCCCGCGCCGCCGTATATCCCACCTGCTGAGCATCCGCGTCCCTCCTGTGACCAGTACTGCCTTACTGTGTCAATTTTAAGGCCACTGCTTTTGGTACTGAGTACTGGTGCTGTTCTTTTAGTACAACAGTGGTTTCCACACACTTTTTTTTATGAGTGATGATTAAATAAGATACTGATAGTGATCCTACAACTGTATTACTCGCAGAGAATTGCACACATCTGCAAAAACACTTGGTCATCTCTCCATTATCCTTGTGATGTTTATCCAGCATAGAAAAGGCTGCTTCTTCGCTCAAGGGAAGATATAAGTGGCTGTGAATAGACTTAGTGTAGTTCATTGGCAGTAGCTGCAACACACGTCTACGTCTGCACGAGCCTCTTAGCTTTGGCTCAGGAGTAGATTGCTGAGAGGACCACGTAGACTATATATTACTATATATGCTAACAAGCCTCCTGGAAAGCTGGGGCATCACAAAGACATGTCTGAAGCAGCACACTGTATCCAAAAGAAGTGATAACTCATGTCCATTAACCTTCAATTATCCCAGACATTGTTTTCCCCAGATAATGAAGATTTAACTGTATGTATTACTTAATAAAGCTTGTCCTTTACCATGTTTTGCCTATGTGTATCAGTCTCCATTAAAGTTACTCTATTGTCCATTGTACTACTCTCTTCTTCTCCTCTCAGAGTTAAGCTTTGTCCTCCATAGCTAGAAGAATACCAGGTGAAGTTGACAGACCAAGGATTAAGACAAGGTGTCAATGGGGAGAGCTAAATTTCAGGATGTGAGAGTGGTGGCAAAATCTGAAATGCAGAGTAGATGACAGCCATCCTGAGCTTGCAGGCAGGGGAAAGGGGGGAGTGGGGAGGATGGAAGGGGAGGAGAGGGAAGATGAAATGGGCTCAGGATAGATTCTGGTTCAGAAATGGAAGATCTCAGTCTCATTAAAAAAGCCCAAACCATTGATGGATTCAGTTTTCAGAGACATTTAGTCCTCGGACCCTGTTGTTCCTGTATACATTTGTTAGTAAGGGAAATAAACACATCTTTCAAGCTAAGATATACTGGCTGATATTAGCAATGCATAACTGTGCTATCAATATTTAAATCTCTTTCTTCTCCTTAATCTCAGTCCTAACGTTTGGAGAACACAGTGACTCAAATTCTGAGCCACACTGCAGCTCTAAAGGAACGTGGCATCCCACAGAATAAACATGTGCCCCAAATCTTTGGGCTCTTGTCATATGCTGCAAAATGTCACCATGTAAGAAGATACCTATTTAATTTCACAATTGTCAGTTCTTGTCTGCTGCCATCTTTTATATGTAGCAACAGCAGGTAGGCTGGAGGTGGGCAAGTGGTTGGGAGAGGACGCAGCCGGGACAGCTGACCCGAATTGACCAAAGGGATATTCTATACCATATAACATGGGGTTCAGCAAAAAAACTGGGGTAGAGGAAGAAGAAAGGTGGAGGGATGGCTTCCAGGGTGCCCATTGCTGAGACTGTCTCGGGAGTGGTGAGTGATTGCCTTTGCATCACTTGAGGGTTTTGTTTGTGTCCCCCCTCCTCTTTCCACACACATTAAGCTGTCTTTATCCTGACCCACGAATTTTCTCACTTTTCTACCTCCTGTTTTTCCCCCCCGTCCTGCTGGGGAAGGGGAACAAGTGAGCTTTGTGGGTGCTTGGCTGCTGGTAGGGGTCAACCCACCACATTATTCTGCTCTAAAAATTGGTCTACAGGGGAGTTGTGAACACAGTGTTTCTCATCCATGATCAGAGGGCCTTTTCACCAGTAAGCAGTGTCCTCATGAGTAGCTGGAGGTGTGTGACCCATAGGACCTAACGTCTGCTGGTGGGGCTGCTGTTGCAGGCTCACAGCGTGACCCCGGACCACCAACGTGAATATGGCCTTGCCACCAGCCACAACACCTACAGGACTTCATGCACAGAAGTGATAACTGGGACCTACACCCAGGTGTTCAACGGATGCAGATTCCTAAAACAAAACCTGAAGTGGGAAGAAACCCAACCTCATTCCCACAGAGATGTCCAGGTTGGGACTGTGGGAAAGGGCCTGAGCTTGATGGATAGGTGATAGTTAAGGGCAGTGTGAGGAAGAGGGTGGTGGTGGGTCTGAGCAGGGAGTGTTGGGCACCTGAGGCAACATGCATGGGACATCAGCTCCCAACTCCTGGCTGTGAAACCCAGTGCGGGTGCTGGGCACTCAGCACGAGACAGAATGAACCTTCATAGCACCCAACTCTGCTGGGGGCTTGGCTTGCGGGGAACGAATTATGAATTGCGTAAGCTAGGGAGGAGAAACTGATAGCACCACATAGCACAAGCGTGTGATCACAGGAGAAACCCATCAATAACCGCAGCATATTTAAATTGCAGTTCTCAGACAAACTTACCCCTCCAACAGCTTAATGTACAACCAAAATGACTGTTCATACTGTGGTAAGAGTCATAGGTCAAGTCAATTATTTGTCACAGCATTTCTGCTCAGAGCAACAGCCTTAACAGCAATGCCATTTTCATGAAAAGCAGAAAATTTATCCAAAACTTTACTGCAATCCATAGAGATTGCTATGGATGGGATGGGGGGAAGGGCAAAGAAGCAAAAACAAAGAATCCCAAAGGACAGGAGCGAAGAAGCTTGCCCACCATAATTAAGGAAAGAAGAAAAAAAAGAGAGAGACAAAGCTGCCACAGCTCTGATACAAACTTGTAGCTTAATTTCCTTATTCTCAGAGCAACGCTCCTGAAATATGACTCATTTCCTGTGACCAATGCCGTATTCAATTACCATGGCGAAGATAAGTCCAGCCCACAAGCCTTCCAAGCAGAACGCTGCTGGTGGAGCTAAAACCACCCCGTGCAGCTGAAACACCCTGCTGTTAAAGCTGGAAGACCAGAGGCTGAGAATCATGACAAGCAGCTTTTCTGCTTGTGTGCTGGCTTTACTGCACTTCTGTCGTTCCTCTGACTCCTATGAGCCACCGGCAGTGCCTGATGTTGGAGATCCAAAGTTTATTGAGGAATGTGTGCAAACCCACAACAGATTCCGGTCTGGAGTGAATCCGCCAGCCAGCAACATGCTCTACATGGTAAGGGGATCTTCACAACTTACAGGCAAGTGTGTAGCATTGCGATGGTGTTTACGATTCTCAAAGATTGCTTTTGTGATCAAATGGGGAAAAAAAAAGAAAAAAAGAAAAAAACCTGACCTCCTGGGGTCAGAAGATTACAGCAGAGTAAAAGGCTGTGGTTATCAGGTGGCTTTATATGATCAGGTACGTGTATAGTTTTGACTGGTTTAATTTCCTCATTTGAAACCCAAGATTTCAGCTCTCAACCGTCGTTCCGTGCTGTGAAAAGCCTCCCCGTTCCAAGGCACTGCAGCTCAGTAGCCCGGGGTGTAATTTATGTGCAGACCTAAGCACAACCTTTCATACTTGAGTAGGCAAGGGCAGAGACCGTTGCCAAACAACGCTGGAGAGCTCTCCCTAAGCTTTCTTTGCGAGGCTCTCAGGGACGGAGCCCACAGAGCCGCTGTTCCGAGGCGCCGGGGCTGCGGGGGAAGCCACAGGGCACCGCGCGCAGCAGGAGCGAGCGCTGGAGGCATCGGGTCCCGCGTCGCCTTGCCCCCCTGCCTTCTCCCTGGCCGTATCAGCGGGCAATATCTGCAGCCACCATGCAAAAGACAGCCTGTCGTGACACAAAATACACCCAGAAGCGGCCAGCTCTCGTTTCAGATGGCTCGTGACGCTTGTCTCCCTTGCTGGGTGGCACATGGAAACCCAGCACGAAGGAAGCTGTCAATGGGTGCAGAAAGCTGGGCTTATGGCTGAGAAGTCCATCTCTGATTTGTGAGATGTTCAGTTCCAGCACCTTGGGAGCTGTGCCTTGCAACGTCCATCACCTTTCGTGCTTTGACTGGGTCATACTTGAGGTACCATGTTTCTTCTTGGGATAATCTCCACAGATCTCTCACATGGACCATAGCCAGTGTCCTAATTCTGATCCCTTTCCCTTTGCTCCTCTTTCTTACTGTCTTGCACGGTCACCACCAGAAGAGCACATAATCACGTCTGTAATTAGCAACACCCCAACCAAAGTTAAAAAAAAAAACAACAAAAAAAAGCAGCTCATTTCCCATTTCTGGTTCTCGAACACTAACAAAGACGTGCCTATTGGGGAGGGGTAAGTGAGCAGCGAGCAAGCTCGAGTTGCAAACCTGACAGGAAACTATTTAGTTTCTCTTCTAGATGTATCTTTTACTTCAGCTTTCTTCAGCTGGGCACCGTGAACTTCCAGTACATATTGCTCCAGACTCTGTTTTCTAAATTGCTTTACTGGCCCTACACTAACAAAATCTTGCTACGGTGTATTAAAAGAGCAGTATTAAACTTTTAAAATTGTGCCTAATTTTTCCTTTTGAAAAATTAAAGAACTGAAATCTGGAAAAAAAGGCTTAAGAAACAAACAAACAAACAAAGATTATTACAAATAAACCAAGAACTAAATCATGGTTTCTTTCAAAGCACTGCAGAAACCCTAGTCTTGAGTATGACCTCTCCCAGGAAGAATTTAACGTGGAGAAAGCAGTACAGTACAGGATAAAATCTATTGTGAAAGTAAAGGCATTGGAATTAAAAAGAGCATATTTCTTCATTTTTGAATAGACTTTAGCACTTCAAGAATGATGAAAAGAAGATTACTTCTTTATTTCACAGGGAACTTCTGTTTGCTGTAGATAAATGCTCACCTAGATATGTGAAAATGAAGACTATGAACTCAGGGCATTTCCACCTTTTGGAAAAATAGTTCTTGGAAGAAAATGTAAGACACAAACTCCTTTACTGCAAGTAACGAAGCCGATCCATCTATATCTGTAATATATTTATTATAAAATGAGAATGCTGATCTAACCTTTTTTTACTTTAGAGAAGTGACCCCTTTCCCATCCACCCAAAGCATTCCTTAGGTCTGTTCCAAGGCTCTTCAAAACCAGCAGAGAGAGTCTCACCAGTTTCACCAGGGCTTCACAGCAGTCTCCTTTGACTTACTGCTGCCTTGCATCACTTTTCACTTATCATATGTTCGATTTTCCCTCCCTGAATCGGCAAGCAACTCACCTGAGTTATAAAACCCAAACTGAGAAATAGTTCATGGGGAAAAAACCAAATGTAATTACGACTTTCTCAAACAGCAATGATATCTTTATGCAAACCTCCCTGTCCTGTGCATTTTTCCCCACGCAGTTTAGTCCAATCTTTCTGCATAAATGCAGTTTCACAAGCAAATAAGGAGTATAACTATAGTTAAACTAAAGACCATTCTGAACTATCAGTTTCTGCACATTGCTTTTTCAACTGTCAGCCGGTTTAAGCATTCACACAAAAAAAGGAAAGTACATTTAAGCTTATTAATGTACCTTTAAACTTACTATTATCTGTACCTTTATGGAACTTCAAACATTATTAAAACTATTGTTGGATGAAGGAGAAAAGAGACGTGTGGACTTTTAAAAAGCAGAATGTGAAAAACAAGACCGTGAAGCACTAAGGTGCATCCACCACTGTCATACGTCTTTCATCATGGTCTTCTCCCTGTGACGTCAGAGTATGGCCAAGATGTAAAGTGCAGCCTCTGTCTTAACTTGCAGTAACACAAGGACTAGAAGGTCACTTCGGTACAGTGCCAGATTTTGTTCATTGTCCTTAAAAGTTATCATCTAAGGAAGTATCAACAGCTCACTTGAAATAAGACCCTCTGCCCCAAGTTTACCTTTAATATTTGATACACTGAGTTCCTAGGCAAATTATTTATGTGTTAGTTTTGTGGGAAAATACACCCCACGCCCCCAAATGTTAGCCATAGGAAGCAATGGAAGACGTAGGTTACAAAATATTTCCAAATATCTGTGGATGTATTTTGGTATGATCTTGCAGTTTTTAATTACTTATCGGTAGCATAAACAATACACAAATTGTTTCAGAGTTATTTATGTTACAAAAATATTATATTATGTAAAACATAGCCATAAAATCTAACCACCACCTTTTCCTTAGTCACTGTTAGTGATTTGTTCAAAACGATTTCTCTAGTGATTCTGTTGTTTGCAGAAGCAACTGAGATATTTTAATCCATATAGAAAATGACAAATAAAAAAGTTTAGTTTTTAAAAAAGTCCAATCCAAAATAATTCAGCAGTGCTGAACAACTTCATTTACATGACACAAAGTGTAACTAGAACTGCAGGCGTACACTCGTGGTACTGCATTTTCCAGGAGGTACAATAGTGTTTTTGCTCAATCAAGTTGTGTGCGCAAGAAAACCCAGCAAAAACAGACACCACCTCCAGTGCAAAAAAAAAGACATTTATATAACTCAATTGCTTAAATAACCACTTTCTATAGGATTGAGCAGCAAGTGAATGAGTGATTCCACAAATATGAATTGAAGTCACCAAACACAAAGATGCAAACCAAGGGTTTTTGCAATTGTCCCAAAAATCCCAGTGTGCTTGTGAACGGCCCTGCAACCAGTAGCCTTAATGCATGAGGCTGCACATGACTCCAGTCTGATTGGTATGGTAAGCTTACTCCCCAGTCTCCAGATTTCCTGTAAATTCACTGTTTAAATTACATTAACGTTCTCTCATGGCCAGCATAGCCTGGAAATGCACATGGTGCCCCAAACACTGCAGTTGACTGACATACAGCTTTTGGTGTCCGACAAACCAGGCAGCCAAGATCACCCACCACCCCAAAAACTTCCTCAAGTTTAATGAGTAACTAAGTTCAAATCAGAAATGAACCTAGCTCTGTAAGCCCCAGCAAAAGCAAAAAACAAATGAACCCAAAGCACAAGCACTACCAAGACCCAGCTGCTGCTGAGTTACTGCCCTGCTGAGATACCAAAGTGATTTTTAGTTGTCTTTATTTTTCAGAGTTGGGATCCAGATTTGGCAAAGACTGCGAAAGCTTGGGCAAAGAAATGCCTGTTTAAACATAATACGTACCTCAAAGATCCAGGACAGGCTCACCCCAAATTTACCCCCGTTGGAGAAAACCTCTGGACTGGCTCACTTTCTATTTTTACTGTGCAAGGAGCCATCACCTCTTGGTACGACGAGGTCAGTGCCTACAATTATGCCACCAATAACTGCAGAGGAGCATGTGGCCACTATACACAGGTAGGCATTGCATTTCTCCATCCAAACCATGAACCAGCATTGCCGTTTTGATACAGAAACTCCAGATTTCTGTTAAAGACTCAATGAACTGCTTTCCAAATGCTGTTGCCTTATTTTATGTATGTGTGCACAAGATGTTCTCATGTCCCCATTTTAGAGAGGGAAGGAGTCACTGCGTTATTATTTTAAATATGCCAGTTGTGTTTTGTTTCCAGGAATAAAACAGGACAGCCATCAAGCAGTCAGATTTAGCCAAGCAGTGGCCAAAAATCCAGGCATCAGCAATGGCTGTGGGCTGCGGCGCGTGGTGGGACGAGGTCCCAGCTCTGGCAGGCAGCCGCTCTGTGGCACCACAAGCCATGCCAAGGGCTGGGGAAATACCAGCATGGAAAGAGATGTCTGCAGCTCTGCAAGTGTCACGTGCGCATTTTTCCCAACCACGACTGCCAAAGAACTAACCACGGCTATGGGTGAGCAGGACGGCTTGCAACCGTGGCACTAGGGATTAGATTCTGACCTGAGACTATTGAATATTTTCTGTGGAGATAAACATGCATTTAGGACTTGACGAGATGAGCTGAAGCTGGTGGGGTGTCTGAATGACACATGCAGGTACTTGCTGCAGAGAAGATAATTGGATGCAGGAGCCATGAGAGGTGACAGCGTGTTGCTTTTTGACCTTGCTCACAAGGACATGGCAAGAGTGAGCATCAGGAGACTGCGGTGAAACGCGCCTTACCTGGCACTGCGGCACAGTGCTGTTTGCCATGTTCTTTGTAGAGAAGCAGTCCAGACAGTTGCATGGGGGAGAATAAGAAAGTAAGATAATTCTCACTTGGACTCGGCGGCGATAGTGACGGTGGTTAGAAGCTCCATGCCTGCCCAGCTTTGGGAGGCATCCTTGGGTCTGCACCTTCGGGGAATCTCTCATTCCTCGCCCTCCTTCCCAGCTGCAGAGAAGAGGAATGTCCCCTGGGTGCAGTTACTGCAGCTACTGCTGCCACATCCCCAACGTGTGCCTCAGCTGGTGGTCGCCCGGGATGGGGAGGGTCCTGTGATTCAGTCCTTCACTGTCCTCAGGGATGCAGTTGTCTATGGCTGGTGTCAGGAGCAGCCTCTGCTCTGCCGCTGCACTGAGAACACCCTCAGGAGCCTGAGGAGTGTCCCCTCTTCCCAGAGCTGGCACCAAACAGGCACAAACAGAAAGGGCCAGGCCTCCCTTTCGAGTCGGCAGAGGCACAAGTGTCTCTCTTCATCTCCTGTGCTGGCATCTCTCCACATCTCTCACGTAGGCAGCCATCGCTGCTGTTGTATCGCCCTCCCCCCTGCTTCTGCCACGGGGTTTATTCTTCCAGGCCTGCCGCATCTGACTGCACTGTCACCTTTCAGCTGGATATAGGATGCCGGGTCAAACGGAACGGTTGTAGTAGACAGAGGATCATTACATGATGTAATGCCCTCGCCTCTAGACTATCTTAGTTGTGGCTGTGATGCTGAAAGGCAGGAGCACAGCCTGGACATGCTCCTTCTCCCTGCTCCTCCTGTAACACCGGTGCTTTCTGGCAATTTGCCTACACATCTCCGCTGGATTTAGCACGGGGGCAATCAGCCCTCGCAGGAGCTGTAGGGAAGCTACTGGATTGCCACGGAGCAACAGAGACCAACTTCACCTTATCCTTTGCAAGAGAGGAAGACCACCGGTGACAGCCAGTTATTCTTTCTTTCAGAGCCGTTTTAATAAACACCTAGTGAATTGGGCAAAACAATCAGGCGTTTTTCAGAGCACAGTGTGATTTTGATATCCGTCACTGCTGCTCTGCCCCATGAACCCTGCCCAAGGAGTGCTCCTCAGCCTATTTGTTGTCGTGAAACAGAGGAGGGCTGGTCTTCTCTGTAACGCTTCAGGTGCTGAAGCAAAGCCTTTGCCACCGGTGTACCTGCTTGTCTTTGCAGATTGTTTGGGCTACAAGCTACAAGGTTGGCTGTGCTGTCCACTTCTGTCCTCGGGTGGCATACTCCTCCATAACCAACGCAGCACACTTCATCTGCAACTACGGGCCTGCGTAAGTTCTTTCATTACAAATATTTCACAGGGTTTGGGGCCCTGCCCCTTGTCTTCTACAATGAGCAACTTTATTATATCAGTCCATCCAGCCATGTCTTTTGTGGGAGGAAACGATCCCCAAAATAGAGGAGGAGGTAAACCTCTGTCCAACCAGCTTTTTTTGGCTAGATGAGGGCTATGTATTGTAGCCAAAAAGCAGTGGCACTGGTAGAAAGGGTAAAATTTAAGATACTGAAATGAAAATATTAAAGTGATCATTTGAAAACTAATCCTTTCCTCCTGGCCCCAGACAGTTGCCAAGGTGCAAGCCCGAAGTCTGCAAATATTTACACATGTGCCTGCAGAACTAAGCCTCGAGGTCAACGGTTTGGATAAATATTAAAATGTTTATCCATGCAGTCTTAGCTTTAGCATGAGCATTTGGGGCTGAGGGCTGCTCGTGAGGCCAGGGCTCATCAAGGCAAAAGTTTATCTGAAGGTCCTTCATATGCATTGTTACTAGGATATTTGTTGCAACTAGGATGGATGTTTTTTTTACCCTTCTCCACCTAATTAATGCCATCACAGTCTAAATGCAGCTTTAAAAGCTTTACATGCATACCGTGTTGGGCCAAGGCCGTGCCAGCCCATGAACTCGAGCAAGTTTAGCATTCCTGTTGTCCATGCATCATCCTTGAAGAATATGTACCCTTGACCAGATACCTTGAAATGACATATCTGCTGCTGTGCCAAAGCAACAAAACCACTCTCCCCAGAAGCCCCACACCCAAACGGGCTGAGGGACCATTGCCTCTACTGGATCTTGAGCCAAGAGCCACTGATGACAGAATCACAGAATAATTAAGGTTGGAAAAGACCTTTAAGATCATCAAGTCCAACCATCAGCCCAACACCACCAAGCCCACTAAACCAAGTCCCAAAATGCCACGTCCATATGTATTTTGAACAGTTACAGTGACGGTAACTCCACCACCTCCCTGGGCAGCCTGTTCCAATGTTTGACCACTCTCTCAGTAAAGAAATTTTTCCTAATATCCAGTCTAAACCTCCCCTGGCGCAACTTGTGGCCATTTCCTCTTGTCCTATCGCTTGTTTCTTGGGAGAAGAGACCAGCGCCCTCATCGCCACACCCCCCTTTCAGGTAGTTGTAGAGAGGGATAAGGTCTCCCCTCAGCCTCCTCTTCTCCAGACTAAACACCCCCAGTTCCCTCAGCCGTTCCTCATAAGACTTGTGCTCCAGCCCCCTCACCAGCTTCGTTGCCCTTCTCTGGACACGCTCCAGCACCTCAACGTCCTTCTTGTAGTGAGGGGCCCAAAACTGAACACAGTATTCAAGGTGTGGCCTCACCAGTGCCGAGCACAGGGGCACAATCACTTCCCTACTCCTGCTGGCCACACTATTTCTCATACAGGCCAGGACGCTGTTGGCCTTCTTGGCCACCTGGGCACACTGCTGGCTCATGTTCAGCCAGCTGTTGACCAGCACCCCCAGGTCCCTTTCTGCCAGGCAGCTCTCCAGCCACTCCTCCCCAAGCCTGTAGCATTGCATGGGGTTGTTGTGACCGAAGTGCAGGACCCGGCACTTGACCTTATTAAACCTCATACAGTTGACCTCGGCCCATTGATCCAGCCTGTCCAGATCCCTCTGCAGAGCCCTCCTACCCTCCAGCAGATCAACACTCCCACCCAACTTGGTGTCATTTGCAAACTTACTGATCACCCAGGGCAGCCTCACCTGTCCCTTCTGAGCACTTGCTATGCACCCCACCATGCTAGATGTTGCAGAAACCCTGCACACAGGCAAGCAGGACCCCAGCGCTGCCAGGAGGTGCTCCCTGTCCCTTGAGCCTCACGCCTGGAGGAGACTCCCAAGAACACGAGCCAAGCCTTCCTCCTTCTGCCCCTTTGCCAATATCTGTATCATCCAGAGGACAAAAATCATGCTGGATTGCTTGCCCTGCATCGGCAGGGACCCCATGGGGAAAAGGAGCGGTGCCCTCACCCTCGACAGCACCCAGCAAAGCAGGCAGGGCACTCCCTGGGGAGGTGAGGGGCTCCAGCGAGGGCTTTAAAGCTGGGCCCTTCCCTGCTGGGTCAGCACGCTGCAAACAGGCTGTTGCATACTAAGAAGTGAGGTAGCATCACATCCAGCTGCTGCTTTTGAGAAGCAGCGACTTAAGTTCTTTATTTATCTAATCCTTAACTGTTTTCAGCTCTGTCAATGGCCAAAGCAAGATGCATGCAGTATTTTAGTTCCTAAAGTGAATATACTCCAAAGGATTTTCTTCAGCTTAGACGAAGCAATGAAAGACTCACCTTGCTGAATGTAATAAGCTTTTACCATGAAATTTAGCACAGCTGAGACTGCATGCATGTAAAATCCCTCTCAGGGTGTTTATGGGTGGTTTGAGGCATGCTGTAAATCTTGCTTTGGCCATGCTCCAAGCTAAGCACAGCACAGCACTGAGCTGCATTCGGAGCAGTATCAGAGGTGGGCGAGTAACACCGAGCCAAGAGCCCGGAAGGTCTGAGTGCGGTGTTACTTTCCTTTGCAGTGGGAATTACCCGGGGCGCCCGTACAAGACGGGAGCAGCATGCAGTGACTGCAATGGTGAGCGGTGCGCGGGCCAGCTGTGCCGTAAGTAGAAGACAACCAGGCCTCCTCCCCAAGCACACGTAGAAAGGGAAAGGCCCC